CCATCTTTACAATGAAAGTTATTTGTCAATGGGTTTTACATCAACCAGTGATCCAAATTGTCCTATTCCATTGTGCCTCATCTGTGGCAAACAACTTACAAATGGCTCCAGCAAAATTAAGAAGACACTTAACTACAAATCACAGCCATATGACAAGTAAAAGTTCTGATTATTTTAAATTGCTATTGGAATCACATAACAGAGTAAAGCTTTTGTTATAAGTCAATAAAAAAGCCCAAGAAGCAAGTTATTTAGTAGCAGAACTTATTACATAGCAAAGTAAAAGTCACGCTTTGGGTGAGAAAGTAATCATAGTGGGTAAAATGCTCCTACCAGATGCAGTACAAGAAATTGAAAAGGTTCCCCTGTCAAGCAGTACAGTAAGTTGGCATATTGATGACATGTCATACGATGCTGTGGTGGTTTTGTGTGATAAACTGAAGAATGGCAGCTTTTCAATCCAAGTTGATGAGTCAACAGATTTCACCAATAAATGTTATGTTATGGCATTTGTAAGATTTGTAAATGCTGGTGAAATTCAAGAAAACCTTTTCTGCTGCAGAGAACTACATGAGACGTGCAAAGACCAAGATGTATTTAATGTTTTGTCTTTACATCTGTGAACAGAATGTCTGTCTTGGAGGAACTGGTTTGGCATCTGTACTGATGGGGCTCCATCAATAGTTAGCTCCATGAGAGGTTTTGTTTCTCTTGTAAGAAAATAAAGTCCTGATGTTGTCACTGCTTTGTTCACAGAGAGGTGTTGGTGTCAAAAACTCTTGGAAATGAAATGAAAAAAAGTTCTGGATGCTGCTGCAAAAATGATTATTAAACAAAAATCAGTTCATTCAAGAATGTTTTAAAAACTGTGTAAAGACCTGGACAAAGAACACATTAGACTCCTGTTACACACAGAAATATGGTGGCTCAGCAGAGGAAGAGTTCTCAACAGGGTGTTTGAGCTGAAGGCAGAATTGCATGAGTATTTTCGAGAAATAATATTCCACATTTTGCTGAGTGCTTCAAAGACGGAGAATGGTTGCAGAAACTAGCATACTTAGCGGACATCTTTCATCACATGAACCAGCTGAACACGTCTCTGCAAGGCACTGGAGAAAATGTTTTGACTTCAAGTGACAAG